CGCCGGGGCTGCTGCGGCACCGCGTCCCGGTGCTGGCGCGGCCCTGCGGGACCCCCTGGCCGCGGTTCCCGAAGGATCTGCCTGTCTTTGGCGTCCTTAAAAATCTCAGCCTCCAAAGCTTTCCTGGCCCTGCCCCTGCCCGTGAAGGGCAGCGCTCGCGCCTCATGTGCGGTGCTCTCAGTTCGAGGTGGATCTCTACCGAAATGAGGCGGCCTGCCAGACTCCCCTGGACCGGCAGTACCACCAGGAGATCCTGAAGCTGGAGAAGGCTGGAGGTCGGAAGAACTATCGCATCTTCACGTACACTGATCATGACAGATTCACCAACCTGGAGGAGGTACCCGCTCTTACAGACTCACAGAATGGTTGAGGTTGGCAGGGACCTCTAGAGATCATCCAGTCCAACCCCCTGCTCCAGCAGGGACACCCAGAGCACGGGGCACAGGGCGGCATCCAGGTGGGTTTGAAGATCTCCAGAGAAGGAGCCTCCACGGCCTCTCTGGGCAGCCTGTGCCAGGGCTCTGGCACCCTAATAGTAAAGAAGATCTTCCTCATATGGAGATGGAACTTCGTGTGTTTCTATTTGTACCATTACACGTTTTTCTTAGGTACACCTAGTGTCTGCAGCACTGTTTGCAGCAAGGCCAGGCCTCTTTTAGGGCAGGTGGGAATTTTGTCACTTCTTAGATTTGCAGCAAGGCCAGGCCTCTTTTAGGTTTTGTCACTTCTTAGGCATGCAGAAGTGGGCTCGGCAGAAGCGGTATGTTCACCTGGTTCTCCAGACCAGGTGGTCCAGATCTCTTGCAGAAGGGTGTGCAGTGGTACCTGGAGGTACTTTGTGGCTTTGTAGAGTTGTTCGCTAGGTGACTTGCCAGGTGGAGTTCGGCTCAAAAAAGTGCTGAATGAAATCTAGAGTGTTCTAGCAGTTTGTCCCCGCATGTACGTGCGTAACTACCTGTGTTCTTCTCCAAGAGGGAGGCCGTTTGAGAAAGATGACCTGTTAGGCTGGTTCAAAGCATGTTTCTGTCTTCCAGCACTGCCAGAAAGTAACTGACTCCGATGATGAGGTGCCATCATATCTGGCACAGAGAATGGCCACTGTGAGGAGGAGAAGACAAGACCGTAGGCCAATGTGAGTGCACACAAGGGCTCAGAGCTTGCTAATACAGGTTTCTTACTAGTGCCTCAGCTCTGGAGGAATGTGGTCTGTGCAAGTTGGCAGAGTGAACTGCCTTCTGAGACCTTCCAGGAACTGGCATCTGCGCTCAGAGCTGGCACTGTGACTTTTCATCCCTCAGTGTTCAGTGTTGCCTCTACCAGGCCGCTGTGGTGCGTCGTGTGTGGTTGTCTGGCAGATGGGCATTGTGCTGTCCTGTTGTTCACAGAGAAGGGAGTTCTCTGAAGTCGAAAGTCATCACCTGGGAGCCCTCAGAAGAATTTATAAAGAACAATCATGTGATTAACACTCCTGTTCAGACCATGTACATCATGGGGGACCTGGGTCCATATGGAAAGTAAGTCAAATCTTGACCTGATCTTGTCTCCCAGATGGAAACTCATCTCCTGTGCTAATTCAAATCACTTGCCTCTTTCATAAATAAAGAGGAGGAAATTCTAAGAACTTAGTAGTTGCAGATACTTTCTCCTATCTCATTTGTGAGGCAATGAATGTATTCTTCCCAAAGGCTTCTTACACTCCTAGGGAAGCAAGGGTGTGTTTGTTCCCTTCTGTGTCTTCATGTGCATTTACCAGCTCTGCTATTCCGGAGCATGTACATGTGCTCTGTTTAGACTGTCTTTGTCTTTCTTTTCTTTTTTCCCATTAGGCTTGGGCACAGGGAGTATGAGCATGTGCTTTGCACAATCAAGGTGGACAGCAATGGTGTGATCACAGTGAAGCCTGACTTTACTGGCACAAAAGGAGCCTACCGGTGAGTGGGATAGGGCTGGTACCGCTAGCAGGGCTGAAACAGAGGGCCAAATTGATCCCTTTGATCAACTTTCAGGCAGCAGACCAGCATTTAAGTTGAGAGATATTTTTCAGCTTTGTTCCAGGGAGTTCTGGGATGGATCATTGTGTTCTTCTACTTGTTGTCACTGGGCATGAGATCTGGGCTGTGGAGCCAGCACCTAAAGATACCAGTTATGCGTAAAGCTACAGGATGCGAGCGACCCTTTCTGAGGCGTCAATGCTGGCAGGCACTTGGGAGTGAGGAGAGGGTCCTTAGTGCCCTGGTGTTGCTTCAGAGGCTGGGGAGGGGATGGTGGGGTGAATCACACTGCTGCCCGGGCTTGTTCTTTGCCTAACGGGGGAGTTTCCCCGTGTGTTTTGGGGCTCTGCAGAATTGAGGTGGATGGAGAGAAGCGCGAGCTGTGGACGTACACCGTTGAGAACGCGTCTGCCCCGGTGCAGCAGGAGGACGAGGAGCGGGAGCAGCGGCTGTTCAGAGACGTAAGGAGCAGCTTCCCCTCTGGACACTGGCCAGTTCTCCCTGCTTGGCAGGGGGAGTTCAGACCCTCACATAGGCATGAACATTAGAGCTATAGACACCTAAGGTTAGGTAAGATGGATGTCTCTGAAGGTGAGTCTCATTTGCCCAGCAGTTTGAAAACTCCCAACTCATTCAAGCACTCCCTGAATACTCTGCTTAATTCCTTGGCCTAGGTTAAGGTCTTGTCCATCTGTCACTGTTGACCACTGGCTGCATTTGACATTTTTAGCCTGATGCAAGAAAGCACCTAAATTCTTGTCTTTGTAGTGTCACCTGCTGATGGTGTTCCTTTCCTTTTGAGTAGTGGGCCACCTCTTTGCTTGGTCTTCCTCTTGCTGCATGTGTAATCACAGAAGGATTTCTTACTACCTTTAGTGTTCCAGGATGCTTGGATCTCATTTTATGCCTTGACCTTTCTGAACTGCCTTTTTGCCTTTGGCAGTTTATACAGATTCTTAAATCTGTTTCAGTTTTGGATTTGTGCACTTCCTTTTTGCATTTGAGGTCAGTGAAGAAATCACGATGTAGCCACACTGATTTCCCATCTATTCATTTCAGTGGAGTAGTTTGTGTTTGTGGTTTTAGCAGTGTGTCTTAAGAGCTGCTGATTCTTTGGAGTTTCTTTTTTATTTTCCCTAGATTGGCCTTTGACAAGGTCTTTCCAGAAGCCGAAATATTATGCAGTGTTAGCAGTTATAATTAGATTAGCTTCTTAAATTAGTTTGTTAAGTTCTTTAAAAATAAGCGACTTTAAATTAGTTCTTAAATTAAAAAATAATTAAAAAGGAAAAACTGTTAGCTTTGCCTGTCAACATCTTAATTTGGTTTCTTAATTTGGTTTCATTTTAAACTCTTTTTTTGCAATAATGTAAGCAAAAACATATAATCAAAATGACACTTTTTGTAATCCACTTTTTCTGTTTTCAGCTGTATAGTCGGCACAAAGAATATCTCAGCGGCCTTGTAGGCTCGGAATTTGAAATGGTGAGTACCACGGGCAGCCAGGGCCTGCCTTTGGGAGACCAGGGACCTGCTTGGCATGGTTGCTGTTTGTCTTCAAAGATTGTCTCCTGGGGATGTATTGGCAGTGTCACCGTGTGACTTCTGACTGTCACACGGTGACAGTGAGGCCTGCAGCAGGGAACACGGCACACGACAGCCCTGGGAGGCTGCGTGCATTGCCCGGAGGGCTTTGACTGTGATAACTCTGAGGAGGAAGGGAGGAAAGTTGGTGTTTTGGGAGAGTGGTTTCTGTTAACTTCTTGAATGCTAGAGTTTGCATCGCTCAGTTCAGGTAAATAGGCCTCCCATCTCTGAACTGAAATTTGTGACTTCAGATTGCATCTTATCCACTCTGAAGTACTGTAAAAGACCTAATTTATAGATCAGTGAACTCTGGCAGCCTGACAGTTTGGTCTCTCTAGGGAGACCCTATCCAGAGAGCCTGGTAAGTTCTGGAAATGATGGGGAGCTAATACAAGAAATCAGAATTCCTGCTTCCCTATCAGGAGCAAGTCAAAGGATGAAACCTCGAAGCCCAAGCAGCCGTGAAATATTCCTGTGGCGTCTTGTTGGGAGGGGATTGCGGGAGCTTCCACTAGTCACTAAGTTCTTTTATCTTCTTTATCTGCTTGTTCCTGCAGCCTCTTCCTGGTGCACTACGGCTGTTTGTGAATGGGGAAATAGGTGAGTCCTTATTATGAACGGTCCCTGTAGGGGCAAAAACTGGGTCTCCTAGAATGGCTAAGGCTGGAAAGGATTCCTGATTCACAGGCCAGTCCTGAGCAGAGGATTCTCTCCCTAGCTTCCTTTTGTTCCTCTTCCTCCTCCTCTTTTTTGTCCTGCCCTGTTTTTGTGAATGAATCTCTTGAGTTGCATTAACAGATTGGAGATTGCAAACATGACAGCTGTTGTGGAAAACATACAAGTTTGAAGAAGGGAGAGGTTATAGATCTGTACATTATACACATTATAGATCTGTTTGTTATAGATTATAACAAAGCAATTAAACATGGGACTTCCATAATGGGGACAGGGCCTATCCTGAGCAAGAATCTTCTGAGGGTCATGTTCTGTTGTGTGGAAGAACCTGGCTTTTCCCAGCTTCCCTTAGACTGCTGGTGCTGCATCTCCCATGCTCTCCAGTGAGCACTGGAGGAGTTTATGTGGAAGCAAGAGGTTGAACGTTCATTCTGTCTTCCTTTCAGTTTCAGCTCAAGGCTATGAATATGACAACCTCTATGTTAATTTCTTTCTGGAGCTGCCTAAATGTGAGTATCCCTTTTTCCAGCCCTATCACATGAGCTGAAGATATAAGTCATACAGATCAGTTATGTTAAAAGTCAGTAAAAATAAATGGAAGGGGCTGGGATCTAACTGGAACTATAAGTACCAAAGTTGGTGGTGTGAACTAAACTGGCATCTGGGAGAAAGTAGCAGCTTCATCTCTTGGCTCTTCCAAATTGGGACTGGGACATAAAGGACTGTTGGCTTCTCAACCAGCAGTGGTGGTGTCCAGCAAGCCACCCAAATTTGTTCCTAACCCTGCACAGAATCCATCTCAGTGCTGACCCTGCCTGATTTCACTTCCAGTCATTATGTCCTTTTATTCTTCACCGATGCTCAAGTATTACATCTTTTTACTGATGCTGAAGTATTAAATCTTGGCTTAGAATTAAGGCTCCCAGAATTAACATGCACATCCTGCTTCTTGTTTTGTCACCCTTCGCTCCCTTTTTTGTCTGGCTGTAGTGCTCATGTTTGTCTGAGGGACTGTCACTTTTGCTACTCTGTATTTTTAGATAAGATTCTTTTCTCCCAAGATGGAGCTTGTGCTGTCATACACATCCCACAGAGTTCTGGAATGCAGTAATTGCAGCAAGAGGGTGGGATGCACCTAGGGAAATTCAGTGTGGGTTGAACAGCTGGGATTGCCGTTCTCCTTTGAGCTGTTCTGCCTGCCGAGTCCTCCCTTTCATCCGGAGCTTTCACCACGGCTTTCACGTTCTCCTTTTCTCCTAGGCTGGTCGAGCCCAGCATTCCAGCAGCTCTCGGGAGTGACGCAGACCTGTGCCACCAAGAAAGTGGGCAGGGTAAGGACGTTTGCAAACCCGAGGAGCAGAACTTGAACAGGGACACGCTGAGGTGGACCTTGTAATGATACAAGCTATGGGTTTATTCAGCAAAGGTTCTGACTTGAGAGCTGCTTTCTAGAGCAAGCCGTATTTGGGGTTCTCCTCATTCTGGCTGTACGTTTGACATTGGCATTTTTCAGAGTGCCACTGTATTTGAATGAAATTTCAAAGCAGTTTCTGGAGCCTAACTTTTAAATTCTTTTGTTTGATTGCCTTTGGAGCTTTGATGTTGGTTGCTGGAAACACTCAGAGTTAATGAAGCATCATCCTGGCTTGACTGGGTCTGCAGTGCATCCAGTCTTTAAACTGATTTCTTGCAGTGAACCCTCTCTCCTGTCTGGAAGTTAGTTCAATTGCTGTATGCAGCTCCTCCCTTGCATCTAGATTTGAATTTCACCAACCTTTTCATGTCTTTGTAAGAGCTAATCTTGCTTATTACAAAAAAAGTTATCATACCACATTTCAGTAATCGTGTTGTTGGAGGTATTTTTCTGTGTTCCTGTGAGGATCCTGATTTGTCATTTAAAGTGTGTCACTCTTTTCCCCATTATTTTCATTAGTTTAAAAAGTTCATTCCATCTACATGGCACTGGGAATTGTGTGCAGATCCCCCGTACAGCCCTGTGCTGCATTGGTGTGTTGTGATTGATCTCATCTAGGGCACCACTGCTTCTTCTCCCTTTAGCTCTTTTCTCCCTGCTCTCCATGTTCTTGTTCTAGTGCTAGTGCTGGATTCTACTCTTGCACAGGAATCTTATCTCTGTTCCTCTTTTCCAGGATAATGTGGCATACTTCTGCTACCTCTTCACTCTGGAGATGTTCTTCACCCAAGAAGATGAATCAGAAGGTGTGTTTCCTTGCTGCCCTGAAAGCTCCTGCTTGCAGTGTAGGTAGGCATCATGCCATGTGCACTGATGTAAATAAAGGAAGATGTTGCACATTGAGCACATGGTCACCACATTGCCACAAAACCTCTGCACATGTAGCAAATGTCCTTTGCCCAGCTGTGTGTCAGTACTTGCATGGAGCAGTGTGTTTCCTTGTTTCCAGGCCATGCTCAGTTCTATCCAGTGCTGGATCTTATCTTTGTAGTCACACTAAATGGCCTCTATAATCTGTATAGTTTATATATAGTCACTTTAGAACTCATGGCTATATTTTAAGCTGAGCTTGTCTGTAGCCTTTTCCTATCCTGTCCTTATGTTGCTCTTTCTTTGTCACCAAGCCCATTGCTTTTTCGATTGCTGTCGCCAGGGACAGCTTCACATCATGCCTTGCCACTTCAGTGTAATGTATGCATTGGATTAGAGTATACAACCAACACTAATGCACTTCCAGCCTAGAATAAATGTATTATTACACCGTGGAGAAAATAAATGCTTGGAAGCTTGTAGGAGAATGCAAGTTAGTAACATTCTAGTAACTGTGAAACAGGTATCTGTTAATGATAGAAAAGCTCCCTTGTTTTGTCTCACATAGTTCAAAAAAGAGTGCCTGGTCTGCAAAAGGACAATTGAGCAACCAGTTTGGACTTGATCTCAGAGATTCATCAAAACAAAAAAAATACCAAAATTTTTAGCCTCTTACCAATATTTCCCTTTTCATCCTGAAGTCAGAGGCTCCAGATCTTACAGGGAAAGATAATCACCATATGTCTAGGTTTGTCATTCTAGAAGAAATACAGCCAGGACTTCTTGCTGGTGCTTAGCAAACTCAGTGTCCATCTGCAGCTTTTACACAACTGTCATCTGCTCCCCTTCCTTGCAGACTCCCTCCCTCAGTGGCCTGTCCTTTACTTTGAGGTTCTATCCCTGGATTTTTGGCAGAGGTATCGTGTTGAAGGATACGGCTCTTTGGTGCTGCCAGCCTCTCCAGGTAAAGTGTATTTGGGAGTGGGTTGTTAGTGGCTAGGGGAATGAAAAGGGATGAGAGTTGAGTGGTTCTCTTGGGAGTGGACTTGCTGGCCCCAGGCAGGCTTTTCCTGTGCATGCTGAGGGGAATACTAAGCTCCCTGTGAGGCATCAAAGAGGGGTCTGGTGCATCCTAAACCATTTTGCTTGTTATTGAGAAGCATCGTGTGTTGCTTCAGTGGCTCTGTCTGAAAATCTTGTACTGCAAAACCCTGGAGTGGGGCCCATCCATCTCTTCGATGGTGGTGCTCCTTCTCTGTCCGGCTTGGAATCTGAGGGTCACAGCAGACATCCTGATGCAGGAAGATGCTCCTCATGAGCGTGGGGTAGTTCCAGCGCTGCCTCTGACTGTCTGAGGCTGAGTCACTGGAAAGACATATAGATGATAAACCATGGAATGTTTCCATTTCCAGCCTGTCATGGTATGGATCAGTGCCATAGGATCCATCTACCATGCTGTCCTGTCACTCTGGGTGGATTAATTTGCTGTAGACACTAAACTGGCCTGTCCTCCCTGATCAGGGCTGCACACATTTACCATCCCCACCTGGCGCCCTGTGGAGCTGGGGACAGTCTCGGAGCTGAGAAGGTTTTTCATTGGGGGATCTCCTGAACTGGAGGACTTAACCTACGTCAGGATACCCACAACCTTCCAGGTGGGTTCAGCTACAGGATGCTGCTCTTGCTGGGATATGTGAGATTCTGCTCTCAAGTTCAGGTTCCTGTCGGCAGTTTTGACCAGATTCGAGCAAGGATGAGCTGATGGTCCCATTCCTGTGCAAAATAAATGGATCCTCTGTGGCACTAATGAGCAGGGACAGAGGAGGGGACAAACCTGCTGTAGAGCTCTCTGCCCTCCGGGCTGTCTGCAGCTTAGAGAAGTGAGTGCCCAAGTGCTCCCGGAGCCTGGCCCTGCCGCTGCTTGTGCTGGCCCCGTCTGGGAAGATCCCTCACGTGAGCATCTCCTACTGGCTCGAGTCTTCATGTAAGTACTGACCTGGCAGAACCTTGCTGAAGCAAGAAGCTCACAGGAATGTTGGGCAGAGAAAAATTCCACGTGCTCAGAAAAGCTGCCGAGGCGCTTGTGGGTGTAACAAAAAAGCTGCTCTTAGTAGCAGTTTTGAGTGGGAATAAGCCCTGAAGCAACAACTAAAACCCTTCTCCAGGACTTTGTTGTCGGCTCACTAGTAATCAGGGCCAGTCCTCAGTGCAGCCCAGAACTCTTTGGGAGAGCCTTGGTGCTCACAGTTGTTGCTACTCTTTGCAGTAGATCAGGTAGGTGGTTGCTAGGGCCGAGCTGGTTATTCCAACCTGGGCTTTCTGTGCAGGGAGGGCGTCTGAGCCGCCTCGGCTTTCGCACAAAGACCACGGGGACCGTCACCTTCCGGCTTCACTGCCTGCAGCAGTCTAAGTGAGTGTTGCAAAGTGAGTGTGAGCTCGTCTGCTGTGCTGGGCCAGCCCTGACCTTGTGCTTCTCTGCAGGGCTTTTCTGGAAACCAGTGCCCTGCGACAGCGCATGCAGAGTGTGCTGGACCGGCTTGGAGGCTTCACTCAGCAGAGTTCTGTCTACAACGTTTTGGGTAGGACTGTCATCTCACTCCCCTCTGGGGCACTTGGGGGTTGGGATCTCTGCAGAGTCCATTGCTGGGGTGTAATCACCCCCTTTGAGCTTCTTGAGTGTCAGACTACCACAGCCAAGGCTTAATGTTCTGATCTGGAGTTGCTGGAGACTTCAGGAGGCATCAGCTGTCCGCAGGTGGGAGGAGAAGCACCCTGTGAGGGCAAAGCCTTGGCTGAGCTGCCCCGTCTTGCCTGGCATGTGGCACCCAGGCTCCATCTCTCCTTCTGTTTTGCACGGAGGAAGTGCAGTACTAGAAATCAATGAAAGAAAGCGGCAAGAGCCTGGTGCTTTGTTGGTGGGAGTTAGTTCCAGGAAGTGAGATTCCTGTTCTTGGAGAGAGGATGTTCTTTGGATAGGCTCATCCCTCCCCTCCCCTGAGGCTGCCTTGGCCCCGTACCCGCTGGTGCGCTCAGGCTGCTCTCGCGCTGTGTTGCAGAGGCTTTCCGGAGAGCGCGGCGCCGGATGCAGGAGGCGCGCCGGAGCCTGCCCCGAGACCTCGTCAGCACCGCGGCCTCCGCGCGCACCCCGGAGCCGTGAGCCACCGCGGCGGCCTCCAGCCTGCGAGCGCTCGGCAGCCTCCCTCTGCTCACAAGGGCAAGAGGAGTCGCAGCTCTCGTGCCTGGAGGCTTTTCAAGCCCTTCCTTTGCCATGGGTGGGGGAAGGAGTCTGTGACACATCCACATCTTTGTGTTTCCGTGGATATCCATGGAAGGACCCCCATCTTTTCAAGGCATTTTGTTGCCATTCCCTAATGGTACAGATAATTGTTGACATTTTTGCTGGGTAAACTAAAGCATCGAACATTAGACCTGGGAACTCTTTAAAACCTTTTCAAATATCAAATAGGAAATTATTATAAAAGTCTCAAGTCTACAGTGACTTGGAAAATTTGCTTTTCTTCTTAGAGAAGAGAGTGATTTTGAAGGTCAAGGCATGAATGCTGTTTAGAGTTTAATGGAATGAGTAGGTAACTGATAATGGTTATCAGCATTTGTAGGTACGGCTCAGTCATCAGTAAAATTAATCTGTCCACCTTTGCCTTAAGACTGACTCATTTCTAGAGAAAAGAACTTTCTGTCACTCTGTAATGTATGAAATTAAAGCAAAACAATGATACACAGCCTAAATTCACAACTCGAGAAAAGAGTTAAATTCTGTATTCCTTTGTATGTTCCCATGAAGCTCCTGGGTTCCTGCACCTCTGCAGTTATTAGCAGAAGGAAGCTTTGTTTGAGGACACAGCTGAAGAACACACATTCCCCTCATACTACAGCAGAACTTCATCTGCGTGGTTTGCAAAGCGCCAAAGCAGATTGTAACATTTGCTCAGCAACTGAACTTTGAACTATCTCTGTTCATTGCTCCATTTCTGATTGCAATAGGCTGTGTTGCTTCCCGAGGAAGTATTTGTCTAGTTTTCACTCTGTTTCTTCTCCTGTTCTTTTCTCAGTCTCTTTTTTCCCTGTTTTTGCTCTTCTCAAGTTCAGAGGTGTGAGGGTAGCTGCAGACTGGCAGTGCTGCACTCATCTGTGCATGAGTCATGTTTTCATGTGTTCTCCACCCCCAACACAAGGGGTAGGAAGAAAAACCTCTGCTGAGATCATGCAGACCTGAATATGTTCATAAAATCAGAACTCATGGGCTGTGTATGAACACAGGGCTTTCTCTCCCTTGCTCTGCACTTTTCTTCTTTGCCAGGGGGGTGAGATGGATGGTTGCAGCCGTGTTAAACATCCTGCTCTTCCTGGGTTTCTGTTGGCTCAGCCCCTTCTTGCCATTCTGATCTCATCCCAGCCTTCACTGGAAAACCTGAGCTCCTGGGTTTGTCCCCCGTTGAGCTTTGTGGTACTTTCTAGGTCGTTATAGCACCTTGAATGCACCTGGCAGCTACTTAAAGAGGCTTTTTGCTCACCTTGCTCTGCCTGCACCTCCCTTTTGCTGGAAGAAGCTGCCAGCATGTATTAGCGTGGCCTGCTAAGCCGAGTGCAGTATCCCTGGGCTAGAGCCGAATGCTACTGCCTGGGCCTGGATCAGGTCTTCGCTGATGCTTTGGGACATGATGTGACTCTGTAGGGCGTTGTGGCTGCAAAGAGGAGACCCCAGTGCCGCAGCAGGAGAGCTGAGGCCTGGGCCTGTGCGCTCGCACGGGCTGTGATGAGGCTGTTGCATTTCACAGGCGCTCACCCGCTCCGTGCTCAGGTGTCCAGAAGGTAGGTAGCTGATCAGTGTCTTTTTTATCTTTTTTAGTCATAAGTTGTGTCCTAGCTACTGAATATTACAGAAGTAACACAGCATTTCCTTCAGCATGTTTCAGTTGTGTTGGCCACCAATAGCCCAATCTCATGTCTCCAAAGCGCTTTTCAGGATTGAAATATGAGGTAAAAAATATTCTTTTAATCAATAAAGTAACAAAATACCTATTTCCTTAAGACAGGACTGCCGAGAACAGATGCTAATAGAGAGTGGAATCAGATTCCCAACTTGTGGTCATTGCCCAGAGCACTTAGGTGGCAGAATCTGTGGGCTGACTCTTAAGGTTACACGGAGATGTGATAGGGTTTACTCACTGATAAGACTTTTGCTAGTTAAAACTCTGATTATTATTGGGTTAAAATCTTAGAGAAAGTCATAAGTTTATTGAAAGAAAACTCAGGAAGGGACAATTTAAAAATAAAAATAATAAAAATATAATCAAAGAAGTGTTCTCCCAAAACAAGACCTTATTAGCAATTTTTCTCCTTCATACTTGCAGCCTCCTTGGCTTGACAGAACAGAATGTCTAATGCTTGTGAAAGATGTCTTGGGGGAAACTCTCAGCAAATGTTCTTTGCATATGCCCTTTTAACTAGCTGATTTCCATATGCAGGCAGATATATGGAAATGTCACTAATCTTTTAATCAAAACTGGCATTTGGTGCAGGGCCCATGCCCTTGCCAGGAGGCCTGGCCAGTTGGACTGGAGATTGCGCGTGAGCCTTCCTGATCACAGATTAAGTATGAGCCATTACACAGGAACAGACGGAAGGGAGGCGAGTGGTCTTCCTGGAGACACAAGGGTTTTCCCAACGGATGTGTGTCCCTAGGGAATGTGCTGGAGCGGTACAACACCCATGTGGTAAAACTCAACGGGAGAATCATAGAATGCTTAAGGTTGGAAGGGACCTCTAGAGATCATCTAGTCCAACCCCCTGCACCCGCAGGGTCACCTAGAGCACGTGGCACAGGACTGCGTCCAAGCGGGTTTGAAGATCTCCAGAGAAGGAGACTCCACAACCTCTCCGGGCAGCCTGTTCCAGGGCTCTGTCACCCTCACTGTTAAGAAATTTTTCCTTAAGTTCCTGTGGAACTTCTGATGTTTCAGTTTGTGGCCATTTCCCCGGGTTCTGTCAGGGGTCACCAGTGAAAAGAGGCCAGCACCATCCCCCTCACTGCCTCCCTTGAGGTACTTCTAGACACTGCTCAGGTCCCCTCTCAGCCTGCTCTTCTCCAGGCTGAACAGGCCCAGCTCCCTCAGCCTTAAGAGAGAAGGGAGAGGAAGGACAGGGCCAGGAGCTGCGAGCGCACAGGCTTGAGGCAGGAGTGCCCTGTGTTTACAGGACTGGGGTAGGTAGATGTCACTACATGGGCTGCAGCAACATGATGGTTTCTCTTGGGCTGCCTCTGCTGCTTCCTTTGGGGCAGGCAGCTGTGACGTTTTCTGAGCACTAGCTGAACTGCCCCACAGGCAGCCCTCGGGCTCGGCTGCTGCTACCTCAGAGTGACCTGCGCTGCGTGGCCGCAGCCACCGCTTGCAAGCCCCCAGGGCCCTTCCAGGCGTCTCATGAAACTGTGCAAGCAAAGGGTAATTGCAGAAACGTTGGCTTGGTGGGAGAAAAGGCCACGGGCAGTTGGCAGTGCTTGCAGGATGCAGCTCAACAGCCATTAGAAATTCCAGAGCGGATGCGGCAGAGATGTAAAGCCAAGAAATTAGCCATATGTGTGAGTGCAGGAACTGCATGGCCTTGTTCAGAGAAGTCAGATGTCACCGTTCTGTTTCATGAGAGGGAGTGGATTTCCCTGTCAGCTGAGGAAGACTCAATCTGTGACAACTTCAAACAGCAGCGTTTTGTCTTGAGCATGTCCTGCCTCAGATCCCTTGGTAAGTAAAGCAGAAGCAAGAGGTTAGGGCCCTCTTTCTGGGCAAGACCTTAATCCCCTTGGATGTTCTGCACTGCTTTTCCCTGGGGAAGAGCCCTGCGCTGCCGCACACGACTGTTTGGTGTTGATGTAGGCAGAGAAGCGTCTCCCCAGCCTGTGTCCCTTGTCCCATTCCGTGGCCCAGTGCACCTGAAGTGCCAGGTCCTACAGACCTCATCTGCTCTGTAGAGGATATTCGGGACGGTGAGGGTGAACTGTGCTGAAAACCAAGGGCCAGTTCAACAAGTCGTGAATATTAAGAGAAGGACTGAGCATGGAGAGGGGAATGTGCTGGCAGCCGGAGGGCTGTGCCCCCAGGTTGTGCTCGGCGGTCGGGGTGTGCAGCAGAGCCGGGGGCTCGGGGCAGCCGTGCTGGGCACGCACATCCCGCAGGGATCGCTCTCGGCATTACGCAGGGCGTGGGAAGGGTCCTCGGCTGCACTCCGGTGCTTACACGGTCACTATAGAAGCCACTATTAACATTTCAACAGGGGCTGGCGGTACCAGATGAGAGCTGTGAACGCGCTGGCAGGGAGGGGAAGGAGCTGCCTGCTTTGCCTTCACCCACGTTACCTTTCCATTATAGTCACTGGGGTAAGACGCAGCCTGCATAGTTCTCTAAAGCTAACGTCAGTATTTCAGTGCAAATCAGAACATAACTGATTTGAGCAAAGGCACATTCTATTAGGTAACTGGAAGAAAAGTGTCTGTGTACCCTTTTCCTGCAGTAAAGCCATTGCATTTTTTTATTTAATTAATGTATCATTAATTTGAGTTTGAGCAGGTTTTTGCTTTGGTCCAAGCAGGTTTCTCAATGAATTCTAGTGCTGTGCTCTCCATTCTCACTTATCGGTCAAGATTCTGTTCTAAAGTAATGAGGAAAGTCAGAAAGCATTGAAATAACAGACTTCACTATAATATATTCACACTTACACATTTAAGGATCATCTTTCAAAACAATTGTGAGGAGATTCTGCAACAAGGGATCGCACTCTTTTCCCCAATGTATGGAAACCTGTGGTGTTCCATGTTTTCCAAGTTTGTGCAAATGAGAGAATCAGCCTCTTGGGAAGGTGGGAAAGATAAATTCCCAGTTCCTCACCCTGTCCTTAGAAAGCTGAAGAGGTCAAATTGGACCTCAAGATCTAATCCATTCATTTGCTTCACTTTTAACTTAATCTAAGCCTGACAGATGTTTGATCAACCTGTTTTTTAAGTGGTGTTGGAGACTGCAGATCATTCTTTCTGAGTATTCCCTTTCCTGTGGCACATTTTCTTTGTACAGAGCAATCGGCCGTGGCAGCTTGTGCATTAGCTGAGCAAGACTGTAGTCATGCTGCTGGTGGAGGTGTGAGGAGGAGGAGGGAGCCTGCGATTCCTATCAGGTAGTTATTGTTTCTCTGGGGGACTCCAGTCCCAGGTTGTCAGAGTGCCTGTAATATTTTGTTCTCTGCTGTTAATCTCCTCATGAGCATCACGATGGCTTTGAGGAGGGCATCGCGAATCTGGGAGATCGGGCGAGCTGTCATCCCGAGTGAGTGGGTTTCGCTTTTCCTGTTGCTGCTGGAAACGGAGGACCTGTCACTGGACTCTTGTGCTTTGCTTGCAATGTCCGGTGTTTTCACAGAGTCACAGAACGGTTGAGGTTGCAAGGGAGCTCTGGGGATCATCTGCTCAAGCAGGGCCACCTAGAGCACATTGTCCAGGACCCCATCCAGGTCCCAGGTTTGAAAATCTCCAAGGTGGGAAACTCTCTCCTTTTCCACCTCAGATGTGCTTGTAAGAGGTGGATTCCTCTCCTGGGATTCCTCTTCTGTTCCTCTTTGGTCACCCTTTGTCCTCCATCCTTTACCCTCTCCTGTCTCATTTTGACTTTTTTTTTTTTTTCTCTTAGTGTGTGTCACAAATAAGCTTAGATCTGTGCCCTGTTTATTCTTTTCTGTGTCCCCCTTTTGCGCAGGACTTCTCTACGCTCATTCCCCAATGGGAGTGTTCAGACAAGCGTCCTCTAGTCAGAAAAGAGGATGGCAAAACATCTGCCTGTCACTCGAGCACACGAGAATGCTAATACAAGACAGCATTAGCTTTTCCGAATCCGTTTTTAAATGACTGTTGGCCTGCAGACAAGCATTAAGAGCAGTAGCCGCTCACTTCATTGCCGTCCCCCCAGCCCAGGGGATGGGAACCCTGTGGGCAGATCCGCTGGCGCCTCCCGTCCCCTCCGCAGGGGCTCTGTGCTGGCCAGGCTGGGCCGGGGCTGCTCCTGGGAGGCTCCCTGTGCCCAGGAGCCCACCTGGAGTTGCCCGTTTTGACTGGCTTGTGCCCACTTTGCTTCGGGTCCTCTTTCTCCCCTGCCACAAGACTTGGCCTGTGTTCTTGGCACTGTTCATGTCCCCCTGGCTCCCTCAGCACTGCAGCACTCGGTGGTTCCAGTCTTCTGCCCTCCCTGGACAGCTTTCCAATATATTCCTCGATATATTATTTTTGGCAGCCATTCCAGGGTCTGTCCAGGGGCTCTGAAGAGCGTTTGCCCCCGCATGGCAGCAGCAGCTGCAGGATGAATTGCTTCACTTGCTTCCTCAGTTTCAGCCAAGCTGTAGGTCTGGCAGCTCCTGCTCCGGTGCTGCGTGAACCCTGGCTGAGCTCTTGAGTTCAGTAACGTCTGCAGTGTGAAGCACTGTCCTCCCTGACAGACTTATTCAGGGCCAAGGACTTCCCTTTCTTCACATTTCTAGATGTTTTGGCAAGAATGACTTCTTCCAGCATCCTGTGGTGTACGGCTGAGCTCTTCAATCCGCTTTGCAGTCATAATCCAATCCCTTTTTATGGATACAAGCCTTCAGATATAGCAAGATCAATCTTAGATCAGTCACATATTTCACTAACCATCCTCCTGCAATCTTGGCTCAAAATACCTTTGTAATTTTTCATGTCCAACTGGAGTGTGTTTCTCCTCGTGTTTCTGTACTGCATTTTCAAAGTTGCTGTCAGCTGCTTGATTAACCTCTCAAAGCACTTAAATTCACCAGGTCCTGCGGAAGCAGGTGCTGTTAAAATGAAGGTTTATGGTTGTTCCTTTTTCTTGGTCTCGGTTGCTCGCAGCAAGACTGAAGTGCTCTTTGGACTCCCGTTTAGTCTCCATGTCTCGGGGAGCCCCTGTGCTCTGCAGCAGAGGGACTCTGAATTTCTGCAGGGCAGAGTTGGAGCCACTGTCCTGTTTCCAGCTCTCGCTCGACCACAAACCGCAGCTCCTGCAGCCTCCTCCGATGCAGCGAGTGAGCGCGAGCTCCGAACGCGCTGCAGCAGCTGGTAGCACGTGGCGCTGGAGGGGGTGCGTGGATGGGGGCAAGGGGGGACTTTGGGCTCCTCCTGGGGAACAGCAGCTCGTGGGGACTGAACCGGAGCAAGGCTGCTGTGCAGCAAAGGGACTTGTTTGACAGGGGAGCTCGCTCTGGTGGGGGTGACACCGTCACTGATGTTGACGCTGTTTGCAGGGACCAGCCCTTTCCCAGAATCACAGAATCGTTAAGGTTGGAAGGGACCTTTCATGCCACCTTTGATGGGACCATGATGCATGGTGAAGTGAGGCCCTGCCCCAACAACTATAGGTGAGTGCAGTACCTGCAGTGCAAGGGGGAGGGAGCAGACTGTCCCCTGCTGCCCCCCGAGGCTCGGGGCGTCCTGCGCAGTGTCCTGCAGCGAATCTGTGGCAGAACGAAGGAGAAACCCTTGATCCGGCCCCAAGAGCTACCAGGCAGAAAACCACTGAGACACTCATCTCCTATGGGTCTGCTCACAGGGACACCCCGGGCTGGAGGAACCTGGTACGACAGGAAAAAAATGAGAGGGACCTGATTCACCAAGGGAGAAACTGCTGCAAGAGCCGGGGAGAGGAGGCCTCGAGAAGCACCGTGCTCACGCAGCCATAACTTGGCGTGTCACTGAAACCGCGCGCTTCAGGACTCCCACACCGGCCAAGGCCGGCTGCTGGACATCCAGGAAGAAAGGCAGCCCGTGAGTGAGGGGAGATACAGACGTCAGGGCATCCCCTGGAGGGACATGAAATACTATATTCTCCAGCACACGAGGCACTGCTGCTTTGACTCATCCTATTGCCTGATGAAATCTTCTGTGGGGAAAGAAAAAAAAAAGTTTTGTAATAATTATGTGTCTCAAAGTAGAATTTATTATTAACCCCAGCACTTAAAACATCACCGTGTGGCTGCCTGGCTTTTTGCACCCCCAGCTGGAAGATGTCTATGCAGGTCCTTTGGTTTCAGAGCTCTTGAAAGGCGCTTGGATGGTTGGTCTCCCTGACGTCCTGTCCCTGTGAACGGAGAGCAGACGTTAGAGCTGTGTATGAGACGGCAGTAAGTGCTTCAGCTCCTCTGGGGGGAAAGGCAGCCCCTTCTGCAGGAAGCCCTTGACCAGGACTGTTCCAGCTCGCAGCCCTCACCAAGGCCACCCTGGTGCTGAGTGTGGCAAACAGCAGAGCTGTTGGGGAAAGCAGCTTCTGGAGGCACCGCGAGGATGTAAGAAGGCGGCGGGCGGCGCGGAGGGCGCAGGGGCTCAGCCGCGGAGCTGCTCGCACCAGGCGTGTTTTCAGCTGGATGTTTGCTCAGGCAGAGCCCAGGCGGGAGCGAAGCGGCCAAGCTCTGCCCTCAGGTCCAAGCTGTCTCGTGTGGAGCTGGTGAACGAGCAGCTGGGTTGGTGCCGCTGCTGCAGCGTGGCCCGGTGGGAGAGGAGCTTGCGGGGGCACGGGGGAGCTGGGGGCTGAATTAGCGCTGCTCTTCGGAGGGAGCCCATGGCAGCGAGGCGCCTCCTCGGCGTGTCCGCCCAGGGAGGCAGCGCGAGGAGAGCAGACAAGAGCTGCAAGAAGGTGGCTTTCACGAGCGAGGCTCGCGGGGGTGATGACAGAGGGGCTGGTTTCTCTCCAGGAATGAACAACCCTCTTGTTATTCAAAGAAATGAAGCCACATTTGTGTGAAAGGGAAACTCCCCCCGCCTTCTCCCATGTGTTCTGCAGACTCCGTCAGCCCTTGTAGCAGGGCCTCTGCCCGTGCTAGGGCCCGGGTGACCGTGCGGAGCCCCCAGCAGAGCGGCAGGGTGCAGCAGCAGCGCCCAGCCCGTGCCAAGGGGAGCCCAGACCGCAAGCCCTGCAGCCACCTCCTCCCCTTGCCTGCCTTGGAGGTGTGCTGGGAACCCAGGGGTCACCTGCGCCAGCACAGGGGGCTGATTTGGCACAGAGTGACTGCTAGGAGAGGAACCTGCAACGCAGCCAGTTACCTAAAGCAATGATCACCCTTCCTCCAGCACCAACTCCTGCCCAGCCCGGCTTGGCTCTGTTTGATCTCGAGCCGCAGCCCTGCTGAAGGGCCCAGCAGGTCACGGACGCATTTAACTGCCCAGCTGCAGTGTCGCACGCAGCACACGGCAGCCAGAAGCACCTCGGGGCTGCTGCATGGGGCTTCCAGCACCCGTCCTGGCCCATGTCTTTGCCGCACACAGGGGCAAAAGCTGAAGGAGAAGCGTCTTTTCTGAGCCAATACTGAGAGAAGCTGGCGCAGGGGATGCGCTGCCTCGTTTCAGGCGCCCGGGTCCGTTGCAGCCCCTGCCCCGGTGCCCCGCAGC